TCTTCACTCAAGCATAAAAAAGTTATTGCTAAACCGATCTTTTGTTGCATCGAAAGACAAGGAACCATATTTAGCTAATTCTTTACGCTTTGAATGCCGTAGAGAACTGACAAGTTGAGTCAACCACCCGACCGTGTAGAACGAATACAAAAATCGGTTGACCCGACCAAGGACACGATGGTCGGCGGTTGGTCCCGATCGTGTAGAAGGCCTTTAAGCGAACAGACTATACTGTCGCTCAAGTAGTGCAATCTGTGTGACAAGCGTTGTTCATGGTGTAACGCTTCCCCCCTCTATATAAAAATATATTAGATATAATTAATTTACCCCTTTTCGATAAAAATTATATATATGTGACCAAGATAAATAAGATATGTTTTGATCTTTCTAAATGATCTTTCTAAAGGTTTAATAATACTTGTAAAGCGTCTTAGTTAGGACCCTTATTTACGTTGTGTTTGTTTAGTAACTTAGTTCTTTTAGGTGTCTTTTGGAAGAATGAATATTCACTAGAGCAATTGAAAGCTGTTGGTAGTGCCTTATAAGCTAAGTGAACCCCGGTCACGAAGACAGGGCTCGAGAAAGGTTAAGAACATAAAACGTCCCTATTCCACTTGTATCAGGTTGACATTATTAATTATCCCATATCCACTATTAAAACTCAAAACATATTTATACAAAATACCCGATACAAGGGCTTCGCTCTCCTACATTTATTTAAAAAAATGTAGGGGAGGCACACGGCTTCACACACGCCGAGCGTGGTGAGTGCCAACCATTTTGATGCACTCCCTCCGAAGGGAACGCTAATTCGGGAACTGGACCGTAGTCCACTGCAAAATAACTGGCGAACCAGTAAAAGAGGCTTGGGCCCTAGTTAGTGCGTAAGCACAAACATCGACCGAAGTCGCGCATGTCAATGCGTGTAAACGCCAAACAGAATACGAACGAATCCAGCCACAGTGAATGTACGTCACACGGTTTAGGCAAATAGGCACACTGGCCGTAAACCCTCCGTGAGCGCCACCACCTGCCAGACCGCCGCTCCTGCAGACGTGATGTAAGTGTATGGCATCACCACCAATTGCATGATCAGCACGGCTACTAGCCGCAGAGCGTGTCATGAGTCTACCGCTCACCTCAAGGGAATGGGGTCCCACGTTGTACGGTTTTCGGCCGCAGCCTTGAGAGTCTCCTCAGATCCTCCCGCTAGCTACCACCCGCATGAGGTCGTCACATATGCTCCACCAACCAATACAACGGCAGATATAGCCAAAAGGCAGTTATAAGATAAGAGTAATAATTCGCCATCAGAAAGGGTTTGTGTCAGTGACGTTGAGTAAATGCATTTTCGATCATGTTTGTCTCACCCACCAACAAGTTGCCTTCAATCATTAAAAGGTGGGAAAGTTACAGAGATATAATATTATGTTGTTATATAAAACATCGTGGAGAGCAGACAGTCTGCAGCCCCGTAATGAAGGGACCCGACTTGGGCAAAGCTACTCAGGCGTGAGTCAAACCAAGACGTAGAGAGCGCCATTGAGAATAGCGTCCCACCAAACAACCATCGCCGAGACGCAATGCTGCAGAACGCAACAAGCATCAATACGACTATCGTCGGGCTTACACCATCCCAAGGTCCCCCATACATCCCAGCAGACATCACCACCCGCATACCTCCATCGACCAGAACCACAAGAGTGCGTCGAATCAGGCGCAGCACACCCGCAGATCCATCACAAGACGCAATACCGCAAGTAGCAGTAAGCATCAATGCAACTATCATACGGATGGCGCCCCCTCACAACACATGAACCCTTATCGATTTTGGTAACAAAGTTTTTATTGTTGTTATATAAAAAATATCACCAACGTATCATAGTAGCACGCTACTAAGACGCCAATGAACGAAACTCCATGTATCATAGCGCTAATGCACTAAGACATGAAGTTGAGTATACCTGTTACACCTAAAAGTGCTACCAAACACACTCATCATCCCAATCCGAAATATAGACGACGCATCGCTATGCGCTACGACGTCGCCCACAACCGGTATGGGTGTGCGATGTCCACGGGAAAGCCGTATTGCTACAACAAACCCGCTTACCACCAGCACTAAGATGATATGTCTAGGACACATCGGTTAGCGAGTCCAAGTTTACCTCGGACCAATTGCTCGTGAAGCAGCATACACGCCACCATAATATTCCTTTTCAAGTCCCTAATAAGGACTAGTCATTTTGCTACAGTACTAGGAGCAGTCGGTCACCCGACCACCCCATACAATGCTTATGCATCAAGGAGACCTTCAATAATAATGCTTTTGTATCATAGACCTTACTTTCATAAGTCATTCATATATAGGGTTCGAACCCACAACCCTACTATTGTAATGCATATTCATCATAGAGACCTTCTATAGTATTGCTTTTGTATCATAGACCTTACTTTCATAAGTCATTAATATATAGGGTTCGAACCCACGACCCTACTATTGTAATGCATATTAATCATAGAGACCTTCTATAGTATTGCTTTTGTATCATAGACCTTACTTTCATAAGTCATTAATATATAGGGTTCGAACCCACGACCCTACTATTGTAATGCATATTAATCATAGAGACCTTCTATAGTATTGCTTTTGTATAATTGAGTTTAATATCATAAGTCCCTAATATAGGACTAGTCATTGTGCTACAGTACTTCAGGCAGTCGGGCTCCCGACCACCCCGTATATATGTACAACTGCAGGTATGTATCTCCGGCAGCTCCTCTATACAAGACATCTATACATGAACACCTTCCATAACTAAAATTTAGGAAAATTTTCTTTTATACGTGAACTCCTTCGACAACTTAGGAAATTTCTTTTATACATGAACTTCTTCCAAGACTTAGACAATTTTTAACAAATTTTCTAATTATCTTATAAATGTTATTTATCTTTATTTTTATAATATTTTCAACTTGTATTTCTATTAATTATCTTATTTTAAATATTTTTTCAAGCTTTTAAATAAATTTATTTATTATGAAAGACAATATTTTGCCTTTAATTTACTATCTTATTGGTCTAATGTCTGATATATATTTATATTAACTTTATGTTTATTAATGTGATTTTATTGCATAATATATATATTATTAAGACTATTTTTGATGCCCCTTTATATTGAATTTAATTATTAATAATAATATTGGGCCGTCACAATGGCAAGTACAGAATTTTGTCGTAGTCGGGTGTTATCAAGCGCGAGCGACTATTCCAATCTGAAATAATTAGTGGGCCGCAATTTGTAGTGAGCTTAGGAACCCTATTTTTTATTATATCTCGCCGAACAGACTAGGTATAATGAATTGGAAGATGATGAGAAACAATCGATAAAATTAAATTGTATTAATGTTAATGAGATACTGTTGACTAAATATTGTGTTTGTGTGTGTGTTCTGAGCACATTTTTTTAATTAGCTTTTTACCTTGTTTATAAAATCATTTTTTGTCAAACTCTTAATTTTTATGGTAATTTACGATAATTGTATGAATAGAATTATTATATACATATTGTTATAGGGCTGTGCCCACCAGATATCATTGAATATATATCCAGCTACTTAGTTACTAAATTACTGTGATGTTTTATGTTATAGTTTGAATAAATTCATCCATCTTATGATTTCTGACAGATCTCAGAGTATTTGATGTATAAAATGTGTTATGATTTATTGCTAACATCTAATCCAGATGTTCCCAACCTTTTATGTACTGTATAAAATTCCAACGCCTACTAGGAGGCTAATACTGTTTCTTTTAATAATTTGTACTCCCTATAAACTTTATAAGTCGTTCATTTAGAATTATCTGATTATTTAATCAATTAACTGTAATTTGATTGTTATAATATATAATTGATTGTCTGATTGCCGGCGCAAGCTTTTATGCCTAATAAGAGAAATGTAGAACATTCTAGGTCAATCAAATGACCCGGTCATTCAAACATTCCATTCATACAATGGGAAAGCACTACATTTTTACGCACCTGATTAAAAAGATAAATAATATGTTTTAGACATATTGTTAATCGCCTGGTATCCATCGACTCAGGTTTTAAAAGGTCGTCACTTTGTCGTTTATATACAGCTAAATAGAGAAGAAAGGTTATCGAATGGCGGCGTCGTATCGTAGCGGTAGTCGGTAGAGTGGCAACCTGGTAAGACATGCAGGTGGCCCTGGACCGTACTTTATGACGTTCCTTGGGGTAGGCCTACGTTCAGCAATGGACTTGTGAATGGTTGGAATGATGAAGTTAAATAAATTGATACCTATGTAAAGGCTTATTAACTATCAGGAGCATTACATTTATTAAGCTTTCATATGTTTTTCTCGAATTATCAAAGTGAGCTTACATATTAGCAAGTGGGCGCTTTTAGCTTTGCCGCGAATCTATTTATTAATTTATTTTGAAACTAAGTGTATTAATTTTTACATACGGAAATTATAAAGGCCGGTTGGCCTTATAATCCTACTATTAATGAAATTATTTTCTAATTTTAGTATCCAAACCCTAGTATAACTCGAAATTGCTATTTGCTAAAATGCTATTTGTTTAAAAAAATATACTTAATGTTTTAAGGTAAGGCTTTATTTAACGAAATTACATTTAAAATATGCATACCATATCCGACTCCCCCCCCCCCCCCGGCCGGTCCTTTGTCGGAAACGCTATTCTTTATGGTTAAGAACGGTACAAAGTCACCGTCTCGGAACGATTTCGACTGATTGCCATTTAGCATTCAGTGATTGTCGAAACAAGACGGAACAAATTGCATGCATGTTCAATTTTAAACTTTATTTATACTAGAGTAAAATTCAATTTTATTTACGTGACTTTGTTTGGTGCTTAAGATTTGAAACTTATTAATTACAATAAAGTTAATGTTTAAATTAATTTAAATATAATTTTTTTAAAAGAAACCATTAAGAATATGTATGTATGCCTACTGTTTTCAGGTGACATTAGTTACGAGTTTGTGCAGACCTCCACTTGTAGAGGCAGACATCTGTTAATGTGCCGCGGATATACTTTCTCTCAGCATTCAAACTCGTGCTATTATTACTGCTCTAAAAAGAATTCTGGCTGCAAAGCCCGTGTTAAGTTAGGAAACGATGGCAAAGTGGTATCCGCAAATCTGATGCATCTTCACGATCCACCAAAGTATTTTAAAACGCAATCAGGACATTATGTAAAATTGACGTAAATGTAATACACTGATGTACTTACTAATAAATAAATATAAGTAACTGGCACTTTTATGTATTTATTCTTTTCTCTTTTAAACTAATTATTCGTAATGAAATTAAGCAATAAGTTTTCATATTTATGAATTATAGTTTGCGTGTATGTGTGCGTTTGAATAAATATCACATTTATATTTAGAATACAAACCCACCTTAAAAATATTTGCTTAAAGTGGGTTCAAATGTTGCGCTTTAAGCGTAATAGCGCAAACCCCTTTCTTTTCAGCATAGTCACACGGAAAGGTACGGTAGTCAAGCATTACTCAATTTTAAGACGCCATAAGTCTCGTGCTGTCTCTATCACTCTAAGTCAAAGTGACAGTGACATCAAGAGACTTAACAACATGTTAAAATTGAGTAGCGTTTGAATATTTGGCCACCATTCTTTTGAATATACACGTGCAGTTGCTGTAATAATAGAGGGAGTTATCAGTGGTGAAAACAATTAAGCTGGTGAAAAAATAGATCTTAACTTGATAAAGAAAGAATTCTAAGAAAATAAATTAGGAAAATTATTCAAGTCCAGTGACCGAACTTTCCTGAAATACCACAGTATACTGTACACATGCAAATTATAATACTGAAGGTTTAATCTGCTGACGTACCGCAAGTGGAAATGTAATTAAAATTGTGTAAATAATTTTATTTGATGTTTGGCTTTTAATGCTAACATCAACTGTGTAAACGTTTTAAGTACATTTTAATGTGTTTCATATTTTTCAGGCAAAAGGAGTTTTTATTGGAACTTTTTCGAAAAAGACGAGTCTAAAAATATAGTATGTAAAATTTGTTCGTCCAAAATTAAGCGCCATATGGTTAGACATTTTAAAACGAGGCATCGAGCTTTATACTTGAAAATTCAGCCTTTAATACAGGAAAAAACACAATGTATGTATTCATGATAGTGTTAGATTATTATAATTCGTCATTAGTATTTTGGTGACATTTAAACAGTAAGGGTAATAGTAATAAACTAATAAACAATTGCGATGGTATTCTGTGAGAGCGTGGTTTCCCGGTCGAGCCGACCCATTCGTGCTACAGCTATAATATGGCTGTAGCGTGGTTCTATTACGTTGGTGACGTTTAGTAAAACAAACAAATAAATTATTCGCGTAAATATAAAAGATGTTTTTATAATTTTACTTCGTAAGTTATAAACTACCTCTAACAATAATTGTGTAAACTTACTAACTTTCTAGTTGAGATTTACTAACTCGAGTGAGGTGTTCCCTAAAACGCTTTTGTTGACTTAAAGCCACGGCAGGGAAGTGAGTAGCCGCCGTACAAATAATTAATTAATAATTACTAACAAAATATAGAGAGCTTATAAACTGCAGTATGGCTTTACCGTACAAAAAGTTTTTAAAGTACTTTACCACGTTTAAACATGCTGCCAGGTTAAAAAACGTTACCACGTTAAAAATGTTGCTACGTTCAAATAAAGTTCTTTATGCGGTACTATCGTAAAAAAGAGAAAAAAGAAATACTGGGAGAAGAAGCCGCTCTTAATACACTTCTGTTACCCGTGTCTGAATTTCACACTCCTTAATTGGTATCCATTGTGACTTTTACTCACACGTGTGCTCCGTGCGAAAGTCACCAACGAACTTATTGAAATTGCCCCAATTGCACTACACATGCGGCAGTGGCAGCTATGATCTAGTAAGCAAGGAAGGTCTTGCGCCCCTGCCGCCGCAAGACCGACTTAGGATATTGCTCCTGCTTGCATACACACATCACAATTAAGGAGGCAATTAAGGGTCTGGATTGCTCCTGCGGCAGGCAAGTGAGAAGCCGCCTTTAAATAAGATCCCGCCTGACACAACTTGAATTTATTAGAAGCGATATGCCCCGGCTTCACACGGGTGATATCAGGATCCAACTATGCCTGCTACCTTACTACCTATTACCTATGACCTATTACCTTACACCTTCGCGGAAGTGTAAGCAATATATTGTCAAAATTATATCGCAATCTATTGAAGGGTATGGCAGCGCATAAAATACGAACAAAAAATATTTTTAAGTTTTAGATAATAAAAAAATATAAAGTTGTCACTGTACTTTTACCACTGCTTACGGGTAAATGTTACGTTTCACCACGCAAATACCTATGATTAGTTACATTTCAAGCATTTAACTCATAAAGCAATGCCTTAGAATCTGTAAAATATGCATATTTTGTTTGATCTTTGTTTGAGTTGATTTTTGTCACTAGTTGGGCTTCTACAGTAATCATTTTGAATATTTTAGTGTTATTAATCCAACAATATCTTTGTAGCCAATCCTCATACAAGGTTTACCAGTGAACGTTGTTGGGTAAAAAAATACTGCACCGCAATCGGCAAAAATGAAAATCAATGTAGTATTTGCCAAAAAGTCCTAAAAATGCCAAAAGGTCAGTACGGAAATATGAAAAGGCATTTGCGATGTATTCACGGGGACATATATGAAAAAGAAATGCAGCTATTACATGGTCAAAGTGAGGATGACGGTAGAGATGTAGAAAACGAATCTACTACCGAAGAAGAAGAAGAGGTATTAGAACAGGAAATATTAGAACAAGAGGAAGAGTTTCTAGAAGAACATATTGAAGGAGAAATCGAAGCTAATTCCGAGATTGACGTAGAAGGTGCTCAAAGTCCCATCCCGGAAGAAACTGCATATCAAGATGTTGACCATCTAGATACAGACTCCGAGACAACTGACTTCGGAGAGATTGTAAATTTGTCTATAAATGACCCTAATCTAAAAAATAAAATAAAATGGCTGTCACAAAGGGTAGTACAAGGAAAGAGTAAGTGAAATATTACTTCATATATTAATACATACATAAACACTCACGCCTGTCACCCAGAGGAGTAGGCAGAGACTACGGAATTTTATTTGGCACGATCCTGTCATACCTCCCTCGCCTCCTTTACATCCATATATGGCTACGCATACACGCTCGTCGGTTAAGGAAACTTCTAATGTGGTCCATTTTCAAAATGTCGCCAATTTGGTCGATAAACTTTCGTCTAGGGCGTCCCAACTCTGTCGTTCACATGTGCCATATAAATTTGCATTTGTCACTCTTTCCTCATTTAACCAAACCACCGAAGTATTTCTTTCTTAATCCTGGTCACAACATCATCTTGCATATCACATTTTTCTCTTATCACACATTTTCTCACCCTGTCATTCAGATTCAACCCTAGAATACTCCTTAAAGGCCGCATTTCTACAGCATTTATTATACTTTCGTGCTTCTTCTGCCACACCTAACTTTCACTATCATACATTAAAGTAGGGATTAACACAGCATTATGAATTACCATACGTGCCTTTTTTGACACATTCTGATTCTTCATAAATAGAGTGTAGAACCCCATTCACTCTATTTCCTGCTTCTATATCCTTATCATATCTACCATCCCTGCTAAGTACACATCCCAAATACACGAACTCATCCACTTGTTCAATCAACTCCCCTTCTATTCTTATTTCACATAACGTTTTCCTTTCTTATCTTTCAAAAACCATCACTTTCGTCTTACTTGCGTTCACTTTCATTCCCCTTTCTTTTAATCTGTTCATTAATGTAACCATCATCTGCAACTCAGCCGCCAACGACGCAAATATGACTTGATCATCGGCGTACAAAAGGCATTTGACGGTTTTTTTTTTTTTTTATGATTTCCGCCGGAGGGTACACCCCCACCGACGGGAGTATATTGTCAGATTCCACAGATAAGTTTCGCTTTGTTTTAAAATTTTTTTTTTTTAATATAACTATTACACGTACGGAGCTGGTTGCGCGTTTCTGCGATTTGATACATAACGCGCTTTCCTTCTCCTCATATTACTACAATTCTCAACATTTTTTTAACATATTATACATAGGTGTTGTTCGGTGAAAATAATCGTTTGATTGACATTGACGTTTTGTTATTTATAGACTCGCGCATGCCGCGCACCCCGTTAGACTAAAAACGGGATGACAATAAAATGAAAATAATGAAATGAAATTTAAAATAAAAACTAAAAGCAAAAAAAATTGTCTTAACTTTAAACTAGAGCTGTTATATAATGTCTCTAGTGTAATGAATTGGTACAATGATGACAAACTGGTTAAATAATCCTATAATATAAAACAAAAGTGGAATAGTGTAGTCTTATCACTAAATACGGACAGAGTTCAGAGTAGCATAAAGAGAGTGAACTTAAAGGAAATAAATACACAGAATAATGTTTGACGGTTAACTCGCCCATTCTTAACCCACATTCTTCATCTTTCAAAGTTTGCACACAACTGTCCATAAATAGGTTGAAGAGCCACGGGGAAGGTACACAGCCTTTTCTGATATTTTTTGGATGCAAACCAGTCAGAGTAGACCCCATTGATCTCGACGCAAGCACTAGTCCCTATAAATGAATGAATGAATGAATGCATTTATTCTGTCTTCACAATAGGTATTCTTAGTGCTAAGTATTACAAACGTGCCAGACAGGTACCTAAGTTGTGAGAGACTGGTGCCTGATGTAGGTATAAAAAAACCTGTATTACAGGTCACCAGGGCTCCCCCCGCGTATAAAGCAACAGTCTGAGGAATACAAATCAGATAAGAGATTATAATTAAGTAAACAAAATGAACTGAAGTAATTACAAATTTCACATCAATAAGTGTGTGTACTATGAAAAGAGTAGTTGTGCGTGTGAGCTAGTGCAGGCGCAGTGTGTGTGTGGGAGTGTGTGTGTGAGTGAGTGTGTGTGAGTGATTGTGGGCGTATATGCTGTTGCGTAAGTTAGGACTAACATATAATTGCATTTAAACCCAAAATAAGGACATGAAAATATGAAGTCGGCGGCAAAATTTGGAAAAACGGTTTGCCAAAGAAAAATAGGAAAAAATAGAAGGTTGGGTAAACCTCGGCCCAACTGGAAAGAAAAATAAGCCCCTTCTGTAGAGATCCACTGTAGGAAAGCAGAACGGGAGACCTGCACTGACTTTTAGAATAGCCCTTTGGGCTCTTTCAACCTCGATTAGGTGGGTTTTAGCCGCACCACCCCATGAACTGATGCAGTAATCTACAAGTGATTGGCATGGAGCGTAGTAGATCATCTGGATGATTCGGCAGTCTTAAGTGTTTAAGGGATTTAAAGATGTAAATGAGCTTGCGTCACCTAGTGACAAGTATCTCGATATGTGGCTTGAAAGTCAGGGTTTAGTCTATTATAATTCCGAGGTATTTGATTTTGTCTGTTCTTTGTATAGCGGGACAATTGCAAATGGTTGGCTCAGAGTTGCAAACATGGGCCGTGATGGAGAGGGAGTGAAGGGATAAAGAGACCTTAATGTCCGTATCAAACCAGCGCTCAACCTAAATGAGTTCAGTGTTTGCCATAACACAGTCCTGTCCACTCTTATAAGCCTTTTCCAAGTCCATGAACGCACAAAAAACTTTCTGGATTTTGGCCAAAAACTTACACAGTCATGCGCATGGAAAAGACTTGATCAGTACCCCCCATTCCCTTTCTAAATTCCGCTTGCACATCCCAAATTTTTCCATCAGTTTCTTTCATAACTCTTTCAATTAACACCTTAGCATATAGTTTACCCACAATACTAAGCAAGCTGATACCACGGTAGTTTTTGCAGTCCTGCTGTGACTCTTTTCCCTTATATATCTGTAATATAGCTGCTTCCGGTACCCGCTTCAATTCCCAACACAAATTAAACAAGGTGTATAGCAGGCCTGCCACCATTCCCTCTCCAGCCCTTAGTATCTCGAGTGATATTCTATCATATCCAACTGCCTTACCTGCTTTCATGCTTTTCATTGCTTTTATTATTTCATCCACACTTATCTCCATACTCCTTTCCACTTCTTTCGGAATTTTTAGTTTATTTAATTCAGGCGACTCTTCACTCATAAACACGCTTTCAAAGAATTCCTTCCATCTCTTTAAATTCGAAACTTCGTCACTCAGAATACATCCGTTTTCGTCTCGTACAGCATTAATTCTAGGCTGTTTTTAATTTCCCCTGAAAGTTCTTTCGAGTTTCTAGAACATTTTAATATTTGTCTGGAAGTTATCAGATATCCTTCTTTCATTCTTATCTGTTCTTTCTTGTTTTTTCCTTTCAACTACTTCTTTTACTCTCTTATGTAGACGTCTAAATTTTGTCCTTTTTTCAATGACCATGCTTTCTTCTTTTTTTTCTTTGGTTCCCCGTCGTATTTAAATGCCGTCTGATGTTTCCCTCTATGCCTCTTACGACACCTACGGGATGATAAGGGGTAGAGGACATTCTTACACTGCTACTACATTATAAACGCATTCATATTGGATCCAAATAAGTGGCAATCCAGGCTGCACGTGCCATGAAAGTGCACTTGATTAAAATGTAATTTCAGAGAAATTTATAATTTGGACCATCTCTGTCTTTATTGAATTCATTCACTATATTTATAACAAATTACGAACCGAAATTAGAAGGTCCATTTCGAGTGTGGTCCTTATTATAGATAATTCATTAAGGCACGACTGTACAGGGGCACGGTCAAATAGTAATAGGGGCACTGTGTTGACCGGGGTGTTTATTAAACGGAATTTAAATTTTTAGGAAAAATCAAGACATGCGTATGGAACTTTTTCATTCCGGTTGTTGAGCATCACCAGTACACGTGCATATTTTGCCACAGGGATATCTCTATTTTTCCTCAGAATAGTTCGAATTTAAAACGCCACTTAGCCCTGAAACACAAGGAACAGTTTAATTTAATAAAAAAATATGCGCCAGAATACAAACAAGGAAATGATGGGGAAAATTTAAGTATATTATTGGAATCCCCTAAGAAAAAAGGTATGGAGTTCTTCTTTATAAAAAAAAATCAATAATTGGAATATATTAACAAATTAGCATTTAAAGTAAATCAACTAAAGAAGACAAAAGTTGCAGAGGAGGTGTATTGTATTTTTTTAATATTCATGTATTTGATTTATCTATCGCAAGTTTTACGTGGTAGAGCCATGCTGCAGTTATATTAGTAGTATAGTTGTAGCACGAATGGGTCAGCTCGGCCGGGGAAGGACCACGCTCTCACAGAATACCAGCGTCAAATGGTAGCTTAATGCTGCTGTGTTTCGTATGGTGAGTGTAGAGAACCGGAGACCCTTTTTACTGGAAACGAGGCATTCCACCGTAATCGAAGATAGATGTAGATGTGTATGGGCCACAGCAACCATTTACCACCAGGTGGACTGTGTGCTCGTTTGTCATCCTATTCTATAAAAAAAAAGTTAAGTACATGTTAATAATTCGGCCTCCTAACCAAATTTCGGCGGCCAATCTCCACGGAGACACGCCATCTGCGTAAGACAGGATTACAGTGCACAGGTACAGGAGCAGCCATGAGAATGAGGGAAAATATTCTATATCTGTGGCGGGGAGGTACCGTCAACTTTCTGATTCCGGGTTGCTAAAGACAATTTTTTGACAGAAAAACTCAATAACTGATTTTGCCCCGACCCGGGATTTGAACTCAGGATCTCAGAATAAGCAGTCGCGCTTACAACTACTAGGCCAACGAGGCAGTTGTTAACAACATAATATGTATAATGTTAGGTATATTATATTATAATGCAAGTTAACATACAGTGTGAGCTTTAGTTTCAAATGTTGAAAAAAAAGAATACAAAAAAAAAACAATACAAACTCCCCTGCGGAAGTTAGCAGGGCATTGAATCAGTTCAAAGTACTACATATACTATTATCTACTTTTTTCAAACCAATCCACATTTTGATGTTGTGAAATGTCTTTTAGATATAATTACTAAAAGCTTCGAAGCGACATATTTTGAGGACCAAGGGAGCAACAATTTTAAATGTCGAAGTTGCGATGAAATTGTAAACTGCCAGGATCCAGAAAGTTTAATTTTATTTCAACACATTCATGAGAAACATTCTGACGAAGTGATCAGTCACATCAACGATACTGTGGCTGATGACGAAGAGTTCAGCGTTCTCCTAGTGAAAAAAAAGGACATGCAGATTTTGTAAATAGATATATTTGTAGACTTGTTCTCTTCAAATGTTCACACTTAAAATAATAAAATACAATAAAATAAAAATATCCGCTTAGCAGTCATGTTTATATTTTAATTTACCACATAAATAGGATATTTACTAGTCTTAATATACCTTTAGAATATAATTATGTAAAAGCAAAATATAAAATAAAATGAAATATTTTTAATGTTTAAGTTTTAAATACGAAAATAATGAAGTCCATAGCAAAACGATATTTTTTTTGCATGATTGCCATCTCAACAATTTGTTTATTTCATTGATCGTGATGTAAATACTTCATTGTTTGTATTTCCAATGTAACTGTACATATAATATGTTTATACATATATATAGGTATATATATATATATATATATATATATATATATATATATATATATCAGATAATGTTATGAAGAATAAATATACATACTGTAGTCTCTAAAAGCTTTATATTGATTAAATTGGGTGTAAATATAAATCTGCCAACTCGGTGGGTGAGGTTCTGCCGACTAATGTTAATTATCTGAATATGATGTAGTCCAACAATAATTATTTGGGCGTGTTTCTTCTCCTGTAATTGTCAAATTCTGTTAAAATAATAAATGCGTACAAAGTATCTTTGAAGAGCCAGCCAGCGTTGTTGGTTGATACGCTTTGTTGCAGGTATTTTGTAAAATATTCCTTGAAGTTTGTTTATATGTTACATTATTAACTCGTACATATCTACCAAGAAGACTTTTTGTGTTAATTTAATTTAATTTGTAAAATGTAGTTATTAAAAATAGGAAGTATGTTAAAATTTTAACAAATAATTTTAAATGTCAACAAATTTGTTATTAGTAAAAATTTGCTTGGAAATTTCTGTCTTTGTTTTTCAACTCTTTTAACTTTATTGAAAATATTGTACAAAGAATGATTATATTTTAGATGTTGATTTAAGAATGTGTAACAGATGCTCTTAGATACAAATTTACCTTACGTTATGATTATTAATACAAATTTTAGTTATAAACAGCTGGTGCAAGTTGTCTGTTTATATATTATAGGTATTTAGTTAAATATGTGATCTACTCGCAAGCATAAGAAAAAAAATATTTAAAAAAGTAGTCCTTTGATTCTCTGACTTTTTATATTGATACTTATTTCTTTCTATTTATATTTAATTATTCCAAAAACCCACTCTGAAATGTGAGGAGGAAAACGTATTTAAAAGCTGTAACTTTAACATTAACTTTATTCAAAAATGATGTTTTAACTTTTGTTTCAGTTAAAATTTATTGTAATGGTCGCCACACACGGTCAGTTCAACTGACCATTCCAACTGATCAGTTCAAACTAAAACTGTTGATATTATTTTAATATTGGATTTTTGATATTTCGATAAATAAACGTATATATAAAACTCCGATATTGCTATATTTATAATTATCAATATATGTAAATTCAATATTTTAAAAAATATCAACAGTTTTATTTTGAACTGATCAGTTGGAATGATCAGTTCAAAATAACGCCGTGTGTGGCGTCCATTACATTGTAATTATCTAATTTATTAAAAACTTATTTTTGCAGGCACTCAAGAATATCATTTGATACCAACAAGGAGGGCTAAAGGGAAGCACCTATTAATGTACCAGGGTTATACATTTTCGCAACATTTGACGTCTTGTTATTACTATTGTTCTAAAAAGATCTGCGGCTGCAGAGCCCGCCTTAAGTTAGGACCGAGTGGTAATATAGTGGCCTCGAGTTTAGATCATAACCACGAGCCGCCGAAGTATGTTAAAACTACAAAAGGTGAATACATAAAATTGTAAGCATTGTAAATCTCATGTGTGGTTTCTAAAATAAACATTCTTCAATGTTTTGACGTGTTTTATTATTCATTATAATTGTTTGTACGACAATCATTATAAAATAGATTTTTATTCTATTGTCATTTGTTGTATTTTGTAAATAGCATTATGATTGAATGCCCAATCAAAGCACATTTTCCCGAAAAAACGTATTTAATTCTGAAGTCTCTACCTTGGTTTGTCCCCTTGATGTTATCGGTTAAACATGCAGACATATCATGACATTCTTTGTCGCAAGTGTCCAGTTAAATTATATTTTAAATAAAAATTAAATTTAAATGAATATAATAAAGTAAATATACAAAAATATTTGTTGTTTTCAATAATTATTAAACTTTATTTTTGTCCCGCTTTTTTGTGTATCTCAGCGAATTTCAATCCGCTAAAACAAACAAAATGATTAGACGGCCATATTCAAAGTGACGCTAAAGGATACGCACCTACTAGCAATTCAGTGTTTTTTCAGTTTCAGAACAAACGAGGCGTTATATCGCTTATTGTTTAGTTGGCGCAACGTAATAGGGCGGTGCATTTGTTCTGCATGGTTAATGTTTCTCTTTACTGGTAAGTCATAAAATTTATATAAATTCACATATTTTGTTTTGCAATTATCGCTTTAATTAAACAATATTGTAATGGTTGAAAAGTGACGCATTATTAATTCAAAATTGTCATACGTCTCTCAAAAATCTCAAGTGAACAGAACGTCTCTCTTCTGGCAAGATGACTACCAGGGAAGATACTTACTGATCAGAAGAGATAATATGGGTCATTAGATGTTTGTATTATTTAATTCAGATTAAGTTAACATTCCAATTCGGGTATAGTTAGCACTCCCAATATCCGCGGCTTATTTTTTATTTATGGTCCAAATTTTAATGATATACTATTATTACATTGTTGTTTATAATATTGTTACAGATTATAGCACCAAGCAAAAGTTAACACGTGAAGAACGATTAGAGAAGAAGCGTCAAGCGGAGAGGTTACGCTATCAAAAAATTAAAAATGATCCAGAAAAATATAAAATACAAAAACAAAAAGAAAGGGAAAGATATTTAAAAAAGAAGGAGAAAGGACTTATAAAAACTGTCAACCAAATGACTTCCAGAGAGCAACATAAGGCACGCAAGATGTGGAAGAGAAGAGCAAGAGAGCGTAGACATCGACTTGCCCTTCTAAATATAGATCTATAACACATTACCGCAAGAAACACATGTTTTACTTTCTTGTAACTCGTTTAACAGAATTTTAGTTTATCCTAGTGAGCTTTACTTGGAACTACCACGAAGCTGGACATGGTAAGGGAGCTCCTGATGCTGTCCGTGCTGTCTGTAGAGCATCTCTGAACGATTTGTCAGATGCTATCCAGAAACATTCTCCTAGCAATGTCCTCGTCAGTGACGACAAAAGCTTCCAAGAGAAAGACTCTTTCTTTGTTAGTGCTAAAGAATAAATAAAATCTTTACGTGGTAGAAGTTGTTGTAATGATACACTCTTCTCAAAAAGTTGAGGATGTTTATGGACCATATTCCGTAGTAGAATCTCTTATCATAGAATGACCTGTTCTTTTTTATGACTACAATGTTACAAATTTTTCTGAAAAAAAAATTATATATATATATATATACTATATATATATATTATATATATATTATTATATAATTTATATATTTGCTTGTGTCAAACACTCACTTTATTAATTAAACGTAATATCTTTACGCTTAAGCATAGCGTTAGACTAAATTGAGCTATTAAAAACATAGCTCATTTTAGTCTAACGCTACCAAGCGATGTTTATATTTTAACGTAATTTACACTAGTCCAATGGTATTCCTTGTAAAATATTAAAGGAGTTATTGTATATAAATAAAGTTACAATTTCTTCAATCTACATCATTTTCTCGAATATATTAGGTAAGGCCTTATTTCAGGATCCACCACTTTGGTACCACCTCTCATACAAATACGTTTACTCCATTGAAATATTATGTACTTACGTACTAGAAAAGCTATCTCAAACAAAAAATGTGCGCTACTCTGTGTTCGCGCGGTTGGTTTTTTATCATAGAATAAACATAAGTAGAACGACCCGTAGGTAATAATGGATTGTATTGTTAAATAGGTAAATTATATCGAGAACAATATTTAAATTTTGTCATTTATTTTGTATATTATATTTGCTTATTAATAATATTAGATAATATTATATCATAATTACATTTTAATGATGTTTATGTCTGAATATTTTAGAAGGTATCCAAGTCAAATATAAAAAAAAACATTCTACATGCATGTTCAACAAAACTTATTAACATAACATTTAAATTACAAATATATTTATTTAAATTAGAATAAAAGTCGTTCATAAATGCTGGGCATGCGAGAGTTAAAAATGGACGAATTTATACCACTTTGACTTTGATGTGGAAAACTAAAAATAAAATAAAAAAATAGTGAGCAGATTTAAACATGAAAAATTTTTCCAAATTATAATAACTTATATATGTTCCTACAAAAAAATGTGTATAATAATATATTCGTCCTATACTTAAGTACCCACAGAAATGTCGCATCTGAACATATTAATTTCATAATCTATATTCAATGACACGAGATGGCGTCTTAGGAATAATTTGTTTTATTATTAGTACATAATACGTTTTTGTTGATTAAGTATCTTATTAATCGATGAAAAGTAATTCCTTGGCTTTTACTGACATTTCTTGAATTATTTGTGCAATATCTAAGTACACACGACATAATATTTTTATCAAGAGATTTTTTTTAATCAACACAACAAGTGACAACTCTATAAGCGCCTAGCGAGTGACTGATTAAAGTGCGGTGTATGCACCGCAGTGCAGTGGAACACAGTAGCTGTATGCAGTGTCGTCTCTAGTACGTAGTACATAATAACTCAATGGTTTACTCAGTGATAACAACTATGGCACTCCTCTCATTTTAAGGTTGTCATATCTGTAGAGAAATAATTCCAAAGAAATTTTGTAGCATTGCGACTGTTGTCGATTCGATTTAATTTAGAATAGCTTAAGTGCTACACGTTTTAACGTTAACGATTACCTACTTATTCAGATTTCTTTTTGCAAATATGTAATTGATAAGTTTAGTT